CTGGGACGCGGGAGATTTAAATAAGATAGCGCTTAAATGCCCTGGCCATTTGATGCTCTGCGGTGATTTTAACGCACATAACTCTGCCTGGGGTGACAGGCGAACTACTGCAAGAGGCAGATCGCTCGAGTGTGTCACGTCTTCGCTTCACCTAGAAGCATTAAACGACGGCACAGAAACATATGTTCGCCGAGGTGTAAACGACAGTATTCTTGATCTATCCTTTGCCCCACCGGATGTAGCTGCAAACTGGACTCCACAACCCGACTCATGGGGCAGTGACCATATTCCTATCAACATTGTATCTCCCAACGCTAGTAAACCGAAGTACAGACGATGCAGGGTCACAAACTGGGACATGTACCGACGGCACCTTGACAGAGCCCTAGCAGCAGGTCCTCTGAAGGACCCAATCATAGCAATCGCCAATGCTCTTAGTCTCTCGACGAGGACGATAAAGGTGCCACTCTGGAGGCCAGCGCCAGACCTGGTATACTTAAACCTCCGCGCCGCGCGCCGGAGAGCTCAACGAAAGGCACGAAGAACAAAAGATCCAAAAGATTGGAATACTCACCACAAGATTGATGCCAAATTTCGTCGACATACAATTCGTCTTCAGCGAAAGCAATGGGGACAACTCTGCGCCTCCTTCGGATCGGCTGGCGGCCTTTCTAAAGCATGGAAAATAGCAAAGGCGTTGTCTTCCGCAAAGCAGATTCAACACCCCATATCCGGACTCGCCGTTGCACTTCAAAAGCCTCTGCAGGAAACGGTGGAACTATTGGCGGATGAATTTTCAAAAGCTATTCCGCTACCTCCAGGGTACCAAGAGCCAGAAACTCGCCCGTCTGATGCCTGCGCCCCCATGCAGCTAGATAACGACTTCACCAGAGGCGAACTAGAATACGCGCTACGGAAGTGCACGAAGCGCAGCGCTCCTGGACCTGATGGAGTGACATATCAGGCACTGAGAAACTTAGATAAGAGTCACCATCCCGCCCTCCTGGAGGCACTAAACAAGGTGTGGCGCACCGCAGAACTCCCGGATGTCTGGAAAGTCTCCCATGTGATTCCGATCCCGAAGCCTGGTAAACCTCACGCGTTGCTGTCATCGTACAGGCCTATCTCCTTGACAAGTTGCGTCGGTAAACTCCTTGAGCGCCTCGTTCTTCGCCGTCTCACGTGGCAACTTGGCACCAACAAGACACTTCCTGACCAACTGTCTGGTTTCAGGGCACATCGCTCTACGGTCGACGCCATAGGAGAAGTAGCAACATCTTTCGAAGAAGCGCGGGCTGCTGGGAAAACAATGTACTGTGCCTTCTTGGACATCCACAAGGCTTTCGACGCTCTACCTCATGCCACCATCCTCCACCAACTCACTCTCTTCGGCATCGCAGGTAGAGCTTACGCTTACATCCGTGCATTTCTTCAAAACAGGACCCTTATTGTAAACGTCCGGGGAACAACAAGTGCCCCAAGATATGTTACCCAAGGAGTACCGCAGGGCAGCGTGATAAGTCCTTTTCTTTTCAATTTGGCAATGGCGTCACTACCTGCTGTGCTTCCGCCAATGACATATCCACTTATGCCACGGACAAGCATCGCCATTTATGCGGATGATGTCGCAATTTGGTCGGTTGGGTTAAGCAACCAGGCACAGATGACTGGGCAAATTCTTCAGTTTGCTCTGGATAAAACAGCAAAAGAAATTTCTCGTCTGGGACTGACATTATCTGCTTCAAAGACCGCTCTCCTCTACACCAACAGGAGCCGGCGACAGACCGTCAAAATTACACTCGACGGCGTAGAAATCGCAAGGAGTAGGTCCCACCTCTACCTGGGCCTTTTAATCGATGACCTCGTGACATGGCGGCCGGCAGTGAAAAGACTCTTAGGACAGTGTCGACAGCTCTTGGGCGTCCTCCGGAGTTTCCGTGCATACGGCCAGAGAGGTATCCCACCGGATGGTTTGCTGACACTCTACAAAGGTCTTCTCCAATCGAAGCTCCTATACGCACTACAATTCGTCAATATCAGGCGACCCCAGCTAGACGCGCTCGAACGTTTTCACCGTGTCGCTTTACGACTCTGTTTGGGACTTCCCCCATACGTGAAAAACGTGGCAACGCTCGCGGAGGCACAAGAAGAGCCAATCATCCTACGAGAGGAAAGAGTGGCAATGCATTCCCTAGTGCGAATGCACACGACCCCGTCGGCACAGTACTTTCTTGCCAACCTGCTGAAACGACCATCGTCGCATCTTGGTCAACTAGCTGCACAATTTCAGCGTAACATCGGAAGCCCTGGAGTTTTATATTATTCACGTCCCCCACACTCCATACGGCCACCGCTAGACGTGCGTGAAACACTTCCAGACCTGCCTCGGAAAAAAGATATTCACCCAACTGTCGCCCGCACAGCTGTCGCAGTGGCTCTCGAAAATGAATACGTTGAACATCTTGAGGTCTACACAGACGCCTCAGTTGACAAGAAGAGAGGAACTGCAACCGCGGCATACACGATCCCCGCAATATCAACTGAAAGTGCGGTTCTCTTAAACATCGAGACGTCCTCTACAACAGCGGAGACGGTTGCGATTCTTCTGGCACTTACGACACTGCAGGAACGTCCTGAAATCGGTAAGGCTGTGATACTAACCGATTCTCGAAGTGCGCTAGTTCACATCGCCAACCCCGAGCACGCTCCCTTGATCGCCCAGGAGGCTGCACACATAGCAACAAAGCTAGAGGACAACGGATGGAGACTGGTATTTCAGTGGGTGCCATCCCACAGCGGAATTCTTGGAAATGAACGTGCAGATACCCTGGCAACAAGGGCACACAGCATATCGACTACCACGCACAACCTGCGACGATTCCACGAGGCGCGCCTTCTCATCGCACGCGATCTCAGGAAAAGACACCCCGATTCCGGAACAGCCAATGGAGAAGGTCCTGTACCAGTCCCAACCTCTAAACTGACGCGGAAAGACGCAACGCTTTTGCATCGTCTCCGAACTAATAGCGCGTTCACGAGGAAGACATTGCATCGCTTTGGAAGGACGTCTCAGAGAAGCAGTGCTGACTGCACTGCGTGCGGGGACGTTGAAGATATCGATCACATACTATGGCACTGCCCGGAATACGAGAAAGCACGGAAAACATTACTAGCTTCGGTAAGGGCGACAGGGGCACAGGCGTCCACGACAAAGGAACTGCTATTTCCTACTGGCGGCAAGCAACGGGCGCGGGTCATATTCCGTGCAGTGCTCGAGTTTGCGCATGTGACTGAGATTTCAGACCGCCTCTAACTGCCGCGCGCAATTCGGAAACCGGTAAAGATCTCGTCACACGTTTGCGACATGACAATGATGCAAAACTCCAGTGAACGTAACTGCGTTGTGGCAGAACTGCGGAACTGCGGCTGTGAAACACAAGTCTCGCCGCCGCCTCGCGGCGGCGCGACATGTTACACAGGTTCAGCTCGTCGCCGCGAAGCGGCGACGAGCTGTACTTGTGCAATTGACCGAATGTTGAGAGCGATTGAGCGACTGTTGGCACTTGGGCGTTTTATCGAACCTTTACTTTGAACAATGTTTTAGCCGTGTGTTAGCAACGCTTTGCCCCCTCCCCCCCCCCCCTCCCTCTACCCTACAAATGCTTTGATTGGCGCTTTCCCCTAGTAACTGCTAAAATATTTTATTCAACCCATCTCAATCCACATCTTTCCCTCCCTCTCCCCTTTGGCTGTGCGAGTCTTTTCCCTGCCTGGAGAATAACATTTCGCATAGCCATTAAACCCCCTTTCCCGTTTTATACACCACATCCCATCCCCCCCCCCCCTCAGTGCTGCGCCGCCATTTGCTTCCAAGGGCCGCTCGAGACCTGGGCCACGTGCGCTCGCGCATTTGGCGCTACTTGCAAAGACAAACGAAAACATATCGAGGGGCTTTAGTCCAAAAAGCGCAACATAGCCCCCCTGGTGTTGTGTTGCCGTGATGAAAGCGTCGTTCTCGAAAAGAGACATGCCTGCATGCATTTCTTCTCTTGCCGTGCAGGGAGCTGTTCTAGACTCCTGCCGTCCCACTAGACCCCAAAAGTCCAAAGGACCGACGAAGCCGCCTAGAGTACCAAATTCCACAGAAAGAAGATTTAGCGCTCCGGCTCAGATCATGATCGTCGTCTTTTTCCTTCACCAGGAGATACGTGGAAACAGTGTCCAGCTGAGCTTCCCGACTTCGCCACTGGAGGCGTGACCCGGCAGAAACGAGTCATGTGCTTTTTCGCGTCGCTCGAGCCCCACGTGCTTCGCGTGGAAAAAAAAAAAGGCTTATACAAATCAAGGGACTTTAGTCACGACTGCATTGACCGTAAGCACTTCCGCTTCCCCGGCCATTTTTCCGGGCAACAAGAAGCGAGGCAGCCCGCTCCAAGCGGGCCGGAGACCAGGATTTAGCGGCCATGTTCCAAGATATCAACGCCTAATTTGCTTTACTTTTTCATGAACGTATATCCGCAGTATTTGAAAGCCCGGGAGAGGTTTGAATGCATAATTTATGCGGAAAAACAATTTTACTTTTTCCGTACAAAGTCATTTAAACATTTCTCAGCTAGTATTGAATCAAAAGTACCCGCCGTCAAAGTTCGCAGCTCTTGCTCCAGGTTTTTTCTTTCAAGTGTCGTTCGTTTAAGAATGTGTCTTTGAATCAGAGGATATGCAAGCTGAGAGGGAACCTATAATAGTATACAGAAATGAACAACCTGCCGACTCGTATAACTTGCAAATAACAAACATTCTACCCAAAGCTGGGAAGTCTAGGTGTAGAAATTATCGCATGCAACGACAAACTAAGAGTTCTACCAATTCTACGAACGACGCATACCGCCGACATGATTTTCCGCGGTGCACTTCAGCTAAAGCGAGGGTTCCCTCTTCCAGAAGTAATTCAGAGACTACTCGCCCACTCGGGAAAGGTTTCGTGTTTATTGCGAGTTCGTGGTGATGGAAATTGATGCTACTCTCCTGTTTTCAAGCGTCGGCAGTAGTACTCCTGGTGGCCGTATTCGTCAGCTTTGTTGGAAGTTGGCGTACATACTGACGGAATCCAAGTATGCCAAAGCGGTGTCGTAGCAGAACCGGTACTGTTCCTGAAAAGGATAATCCTTATAAGCATGGCAAGTGCCCGAACAGATTGATGCAGCTGGCAAGTGGGAGATTCGGATTGTGAGCTGTCCTTTCTTGTTCACACTTTTCATGATTATACTGTCATAAAGGTCGTAGAGATATTTGAAGGGACGCCGATGCTTTTGTTTTTGAAATTTCATCACTTTATCTCCTAAAATTACCTTCTAGAAGAGATGCTGGGAATGCTTTTGACAATCTGTCGAGCTTGAAGGGACAATGGCAAGGTATTTATATATTTATACTCGCCAAGGTTTTTATTTGTACATGACAAATGAGAACCCAGCTACCCAGAACACAAGCTGCGGTTCGAAATTTGTTTTCTTTCCGCCCGAAAACTGCATATTGAGCACTGACCGGTTTGAGTCGCGCTCAGTCTTCTCTCTGTGTCATGCGCAGTTCTCTAAAGTCGTGGCTCATCGAAGGCACACACTCAATATTAAAAATAGAATAATATATAATATCAATTTTTTGTGGCTTCTAAAAAATTGCAAATACGTCGATTTAAAAAAAAAAAAAAAAGTTGTGCAGAAAACCAGAAGGACACTGTGCATTCTCTGCGTAATTCTCAACATGGTGTCGTGTCGCGGGCTGGACGGCTGAACGAAGCGGACTATGCGATGCCGGCGGACGACGTGCGTGGGACCTCTACTTCGGAGCTGTTGTTCGCGGTACACCTGCGAATCGGTCTAGCTTCGAAAGAGAAATCTTTTACCAATAAAAACCATTAGGATTCATTCTGTCCGACACGGCCGACCACCAAGCTGATTCGTACGAAGACGTTGCCGAATCGTCGCCCCCTCTCCTGGGTGAAGGTATCGCTCGTCTTAAGGACACGAATTGGTAAGAGCTTGGAAAACGCGCAAACGTCAAGCACTTCGTGCTTGACTTTGACGTTTTTCATGCGAAGTCCGATGTGCGAATTTTTCATCTGCATCGCACGGCAGGAAAAACGAAGGAAAGAAAAATAGAAAACGCAGTCGGGTGTAGCCACGTGACTTCCGGCAACTCTCTCCTCCTCTACATTTGTTCTTCCTTCCCAGTCCAGTTTCAATTTTTGTTTCGAGCATTTTTTTATTACTTTAGTAAAAATATACGTTACGCTGTAGCGAAATATTTGTTGGGTAAACTTTTGGCACAATAATAAATCACCTGGCAAAAAAAATGGTGGGTTGGGGGGTGGGTTTTCAGTGTTTCTTTATTGGTGTTATATAAGTACTAATGACTTCTCTAGCTAGCCTGCGCATGACTTTGATTAGTTGTAAGTAGATTTTGTTGGCACGCGCACACACAGAAGAAAGCCCCGGAAGTTGCTCTCTCTCTCTCTCTCTCTCTATATATATATATATATATATACATTTATATGTGTGGTAGTTCAAATTTGAGCCGAAAAGTTCGAACTTGTGGAATCCGCCGTGAAACGCTCGCCTGCTCCGAAATCAGAGACGCCGTTTTGAATAGCCTTGTTGGGTCGTAAGCCTTATGATATCTTACGATTAACATTCGACACCGACCATCGTTTCAACGGTGGGTTATGTTTTCTCTCTGCCAGAGATGAATCAATCGATTCGATGCCACCATTTCTCTGTTTTGAGGACGCTATATCCATGTCTCGAGCGCTGTCTTGTTCCCGCTAATCGGTGTGGTGGAGGCTGAAGCACTGAAACGTAACACGACTTATGGAAGCTGAAGTTGATCCTCCTAATAGAGCCAAGAGGCATCCACTCTAAGAAATCTTAAGCGTCTACTCTTTCCCGCATAGCACTTGGGAAAGCCAAGCACTTCAATCAACGAAGGAACAAAAAACAAAAATTAAAATGTTACCTATAGATATAAAAAAAAAAGATTGAAGTGTGACAGTAAGGGTGGTGAAACGCAATGCTCAGTGTCAATTTTTTTTTCTGTAGATCTGAACATATTTTAAGCGTCGTATTTGCCGACGTCCCTCCGTGGATTGCAGTGACCTTACTCTCCCATGTGCTTTTCGTGGAATAAATGCTTCAGATTTCTCATGCTCACTGTTGTTGTTGACGCGGTCTGCTTACCGGATTCTCAATAAACTGCGGTCTGCTCTCCCTGATGATGCGCGTCGCGTAGAAGACGTCCACCTCCTGTTCCGCCTTCAGCTTTTCCAGGACCAGCGCCGAGCAGCAAAAGAGTCCGCTAGCGCTGCATCCATTTCTGCGATGACGGCACACCACTCAGTAAAGTACTTTGAGCAAACCATTAACGTACTGCCGTTACCGCACTACCGTTAGCGTGGGCCCGACTGGGACGATGAAGTCCTACGGAAGTCAAGAAGTTGGGGATTTGACGAAGCCATTATGTTGTGTTATTCAACATATAATAAGTCATCGGTCGTCTTAGAAGAGTAATAAAAAATCTCCAACATATCTCTCGCTAACCGGTCCTTTAGCTAACCACCTGGAGAACTAGTCATCCAATATTTCATAAGCTCTCATTTGACCGGAAGTTTACGAGGACGTTATGCGCCAAATGCAAGGCCCGGACGAACCGGCTGTCGTATGATGGCCAAGAGTCTTATGCTGCGAAACCAACCAACTTCGGATGAACGTCCACCGCCGCAATGTTGCCGGCCGCTAGAGCAGCGAATTCTTTAGGAATAGTTCGTGGGAGAACCCTGCGCTCAATTCACCCACGAATCTGTGGCGGGTACTCATGCCAGGACGATGTTTTGAGCGGAAGTGGTTGATTACACGGCAGCGATCGTTCATTTATCGTTCAAATGCTACGTCGCTCTTCGAAAACGGCTGATCCGAATTGAGTATCTTTGAAATGTAACCCGTCTTCGTCTTTCTTCCACGTCTTGCAGTGTTGTGGTCAGAAGAGTCCATGCTAAACGTGCGAACTAGTGCGAACCGGTTGAGCGAAACAAAGAAAGATCGGCGCCATTGGATAAGAATGTGGCGTCACTTTTCTGGTTTCAAGACAAGTGAAACCCATAAATTCTTAAATATTTACTGTCTACTTTCTTATATAATCGATAGAAATGGAATCCCTCAAATTCAAATGCCGTGAAGTGGGGGAAAAAAAGAAGTATAGAACTATTTCTTGTAGCGGACGGCGCTGTTGCTGCGGCGGTAACGAGGCCTCCGCGTGGCCTCGACCTTGAAGTGTTATCACGTGCCTCGCTACGACGTTCTTATTGGGCTGAGCCAGACTTGAGCCTATCTCAAATAGTCTGCTCAAGGTACTGTATTTTAATTACTTTTGGAAGTGATTTGGTATATTGCAGATACATTTGATCGTGAGTATTTGCTACTCTATCTTAATTACATTTCTTATAATAATAATAATAATAATAATAATAATAATAATAATAATAATAATAATAATAATAATAATTTATTTCCTTTATTTACAAACGAGGGAGATAGGGCAAAAGGCTTGCAGCTTGACGAGGCCCTACACAGTATCTTGTATTTATTATCTCAAATACATTTCTAAATCTTAAAAAAAAAAAAAAAAATGTTGCCGGAATATTTTACGGGAATAGTAATCCGCACACTAAAGCGCAAAGATGAACCGATCGCAAACTTGAAGCTTAAACGACCGAACAATGAACAAACAACAAGACAGAACCAAGGAAGCAGACTTAAAATGCAAACAAAACAACAAATAAAAATATAAAAAAAGATTTTTTTTTTTTTTAATTTTGCTACGGCAAGGATTGCGATCGCACGACCCTTTCATGAGCAGAGTGATCGAAGCAAGACTGCAAAACAAGCTACCATCAGGATGAGCTCTCAAAATGCATACCATAGGTTCTTCTAAAGTTGTACACCCTCTTAAAGGAATTCCTGGAAAGAAAAGATTAAAAAAAAAAAAAAAATCGACAACCGCGAGAAAGACGCTTTTTCGTGTCCACCTATGCCTTTCTTCTTGAAGTTTAGTCTCTTTAAATGCAGCGCGTTCGGTGTAACCGACTTGAAGAAGGCTCGGCAAGTGCCATGCCTACTAGATGTCAGCCCTCCTTGTTATCCAGTAGTTGTTTTGTGTATAATATAAAATGTATTTGAAGTCAACTCCGGATATGGTGACTCGCGGTGCTTAGTAAAACGATGCGTCCAAGATGTGCATTATAAAACCGTCTGAAGATGTGATTATCAGCGAAGTGACAATAGGTAGAGTTTCCTCTTTTGCCCATTTGTGTAAGTACACATTGTAACATGCACCAGTGATGTAAACCGCTTGTACTGGGGCTGCATAAAATAGCTCTGCAATGTTACTTTGTTTGCTTATGTTCCTTGCTATTCAGCATTCTATAGTATCACTGAAGTCTACGGAAATCACGCAATGCTGGAGTGTCTTCGAAACTAATTGAATGACATTTCGAAGTATTTGTGCTATACTCAAGATATTTTGCACGGAAGGAAACTGTAGTGGTACCCTAAATACTTTATGAAGCAGGGATTTTTGGTAACTTAGCTTAAATACCTTTGTCTCGCACCTTGTCCAACACTTAGACCGCGGCTCCTCCAAGGCTATCGCTTGTGTGTGTACCTATCACTGATTACAACCAGCCACGCACGGTAAACACAACGCCATCTTGCGTTTTTTTTTTCATGATTGTTTTGGCTATTTTTATACGACATAACGACTCGTCCTTATGCAAGTCGGATAGAATAATTTTTTTGCTTCCCAGAAAGCAGTGACGTGCGAGCTTGAATACCCTTCATCAGCACGAAGGGAAATACCTATTGTCGGTGACAGGTTTAGAATTCAGTATAGCTGCTTTCCGCCGCCAGCACGCGCTCGCTGCCTGTCTGCCGGGGCCTTGATGGAGCATACGACGAAATGTTATCGAAAGAAGAAGGCTCGCGTTCGAGGCGCAGCATCGTTAGGGTGGCGGACGCAGTCAGTAGAATTTTAGAAAAAGAAAGGGGGGGGGGGGGGGGGGGGGTCCTTGAAGACTGACAACCAGTTCGCGCTTTCCACTTTTCCCCTGCTTCCTCCTCTCCCCCATCTACTCTATGTACCGTTGCCTGTCTCCTCCTCCCTCATGGTGAAGAGGATCTTCTGCCTTGCAGAATCTTGAGCCTGGTCGTCGGCCTTTAACGCTTTGGGTCACCCGAGGAGCTTGGAGCGCCGCACTGCTCATGCGTAGGACTTCTGTGCCTGCTCAGTGCGACGCCCCAAGCTCCTTGAAGGAGACCCAAAACATTTGGACAACTCTGGCGTCGCCGAGCACCTCGAGACCGCATGCGCGCAGCCGAAGCACGGTGGAAGGCACGGGGCGCGTGCTGGAGGCCGGGCGTTCAAAAGACACGCCCCACCATTCTCGCTCTGTCGGCGACTTTAGTGTGAGCGTGATTGGGGGTCTGCACTCGCCGGCACAGCACGAAGATGATCTTGTCTCCGGACTGCTGCTGCCAACGCTCCACCCGATCCACCAGGTCCACCATGGCTTCCGGTTGGCTCCAGGTCGGCAGTTGAAAATGCTTCACGGGCTCCGGACCCGAAGCCGGTGCCGGCGTCTGAAGCATATAGATTCACAAGCATGCTTAATTCCCGTGGGGGAAAAAACAAACAAACAAACAAACAAAAATGACCGCATCTCCACGTGGTGAATGATGTGGATTGGGGCAAAGCTCTGATGGTGCTGATGATACTGCTTTTTCGATTATATACGCATTTGACCGCAGCGCCCTTTCCTGTATGGACGTTGAGCGGCTACATGCAACGTTTCATCCATGACATCCCCAGCTCTTGACTTTCTACCGCATCTCAGAGCCCCCTACTCGTCCCGCAGTCGTGGCCGAGTGGTTAAGGCGATAGACTAGAAATCCACTGGGGTCTCCCCGCACAGGTTCGAATCCTGTCGACTGCGCAAACATTTTTTTCCTTTTTAAGAAGACAGATGGGATGGCAATCGATATGAGCACGGACGCCGGAAGGACAAGGCTAGACCCTAAGGAACTTCGCTCCTAAAACAAAAACAAAAAAAAGACGAAAATAAACAAACATTGATGTGGGGAGTTTGGGTTGGTCTCGGTGAACGAGAAGGAGTTTCGGCAAATTGTTTTGGCGGGCTGACGGCCAAACACCCCTTCAGGGACCACTTCAAAGCGTGCTTCGAAGGTGTCAGGTTTGCGGCCATCTTGGAAAACATGGCGCTCCACACCTAGCGCGGAAAACGTTCCAGGTAGCCCTCCAGATTGAGGCAAAAGGATGGAGGCTGTGGCCTTCCAGCAACAAAAAAAACGAGCAAGTCGATTTCTTTGAGGATATGGTTCATGACCAGGAGGTCTCAGAATATATTATGCCCTGATTCAGCAGCTTCATCGCAAGGTTGCAGCGTCCCCACGACGATCGCTACTGATTCACGGCCCAGGAGTTGCGTGGAAAGTTCATTAACGTTTAAAAAAGACACGAAAATTAGTTTCGCACAAATGGTTTACATTTTAAAATTGCGCCCTGTGAATGGGACCACCGTTCACATACGAGGAAACTTTCAGTTAGGTCGGGTTGTCGATGTATCCAAGGCCTCATGCTGTCAAGCTAACGGCATCAAGCATCGAGAACGTCAAGCAGTATTCGTGATCCAGCGTCTAGAGCTATTTTACACTATTTTAATTTAAAGAAAGACCGAAGCGAGACATGCATTTTCAGAGGAATACACAACAATGCGCACGTTACAAGAGACATTTGAAATTGTATCGCACTTACCTTTAGCTTAGAGGTTATCGTGAGGGTGTGCGTGCGGATACCTTCATTGTCCAGCTCCTTCACGCATTCAACCTTCAGGTCTTCCAATTTTATGCCGCCGCTTCGTGGACACCCGGCTAGCTGCGTAAAGATACAGTAGCGTCAATGAAAACTAGAGAAGATAGCCACGTTATGGTTCGTTTGCACCAAGACAGTTACACTTCGCAGTCGCAATACTATTTATACTTGGTTGTTTCTCCTCTCTCAAGCTTCTACCTCCCTTACCTCTCCTTCCCTATGATGTTGGTCCTCTTACTGTCTCTGTATCTTCTCGCCCTCCTTACTACTATTGTTGTTTGGGAGAATAGAATGAAGATCGCCTGCCTCGAAGATCGTGGCAGTTGTTATATAGCAGTCTTTAAATCATATGATGGTTTCTAGTGGCTGATTAACACCCGGATGTCGAACTGAATGTCTGCAGGAGTGATAAGACGTATGTGATCGTCAGATTGTGCAGCGTAAATTACACAATATATATAATGCGTTTAGTAAATGTTGAGCCCAATCGGTCCTCTAGAAAGACTTACAGCGGTTGGGTCGTCTTCGTTAGAATCGAAGGTGTCTAGAGTGACGATGGTCCTGGTACCAGATTCGTGCACGAGCTTCCAAAAGGCAAGGTCCTTGGTGGACGGCATCTGGGTCACGAGGAACTTGCGCTTCTTGTGAAAACCCTGATAAAAAGAAGAAGATAATAAGGTTCCGTTTAGAACAGTGTCTGGGTCGGTACTCCTACTGCTGGCCAAATGCTTACGTTCACATAAACAGCGTTGACGAATGTTCCATCTTTCAGCAGGGGCCGGCTGCGATCCGCTGCAAACACAAAAAGTTGGACTCTACACTGAACGGCGATATGCAGAGTGCCACTGCTATTAATGGTCAGTAAAGGGCAACCCAGATTATAAAGCATAGAAACGCGTTATCTATGAAGCTTGAGGCAGAGCGAACCCCATGGCATACCGACAATGAGCAATGCGCATAGTTCTTCCGACACGATCTGTTAGTTTAGCAACCAGAAGTTAACCAGCCCCAATGGAGGTCTGGTGTTAATCAGTAATGAGCACAGTTAGACACGATATGTATACGTTTAGACAACCAGAAGTTAACCAGCCCCAATGGACGTCTGGTGTCTTAGCCGTTGATGAGAAATTAAGGTACGATGCTCATCCAAATCGAAACGGACAAGGGTGGGGAATGGATTTTGAACCTCCAGGATCCCTGGGTTTTGCAGCGCGAGCTATCGCTCCACGCGCTCTAACATACTCGGCCACCGATTACGTTTGGACGACGGAGATTTTACGAATCTTATGACCGCATCGGCCACCAGATGCAAGGGGCTTGTAAGAGGTTGCGACAACGTCACGGTCTTTGAGAGGCCTACGTTTGGTATACACACCGCGCGGCATAGAAGAAAACGACATCAATCATTTTTCGCGTTTTGCCCCCCCCCCCCCCCCCCCCTAAAAAAAAATCATTCGCTGCTGTACTTTAATTGCTGACAAAACTAGAACACCAGGGGAGGTTCTTGAGGTGTCCCGCCTTCAGTGCGAGCTTCGTATGAGGAGGACAAGTTCGTCTGCTTCTTGCCCAGGAGTTGCAATGACGTCAGAATGACGCCGAGCTCTGATTGGCTGTAATTGAAAGGATAGTGGGTAGACCTTCATGCTAGATGCCTCGAGGTCTACCCACCATTTTTTTTTTTCTATCAGCCAATAAGAGATCGGCGTTCTGACGTCATCGCAACCCCTGTGCAAGAAGCAGACGAACTTCGTCTGCTTCCTGCAGACTTTGTCAAAAAACACGATTTCTTTCTTTTTTTCTTTTTTTTTTTGTATGATTGGTACTAAATTAGTAGAACCACGCTTGAAAGGCCCGTTTTGAAAGGGAGCTTTCGTAGATTTGACGCTGCTATTGGGCATGCGCATCGCTAGCTTTGTCTGTAGAATTCCAGGGATCATTCCCGGTCGCTGTCAAGCTAGCGGGATGACGGGTGTGGTTGCAGCTTTCGCTGCTTTGTCAGCTTACATGTGAAAGGAGTGTTCCTACAATCTTTATCTCAAATACAATGTTTTATCTTTACAAGGACTACCATAATGCGGGCGTATAAAAAATGAAAAGTAGTGTCGGAAAAAGTTTGTTTGAAAACATCAATATTGTTTTAATTGTTTTCTTGATAAGTGTACGGGAAGAGTAACGTGTAACGTAATTTGTAACGAGTAAAGTACTCCGTAACTTTTCAGTGAAATTATAATTTGTAACGGTGATCCCTTACATTTGAGGCTCGGTAATTTAATTGTAATTCGTTACGTTTTCTTCAAGTAACCTGGTAAAACCTGAACTCGTTGCCACGGGAATTTTTTTTTTTTTGGCGTATTTACATGACTTGTACGAAGTAGTTCTCACAAGATATGGTTGTCGAAGGAAAAAACAATGGTTTTGGCGCTTTAAACGTGTACGTCTTAATAAAATAACATAAAGCTAATTAATAAGATATACCTGTATATACTGTAATTCACCACCATCCTGGGTTCAATCTCCACCCTTACCCGTTTTGATTTGGATGAGTATGGTACCGACGTGGCGGTCGTGTATTGTTCGTTACTGCCGCTGTGCACGTTAAAGACCCTATAGGCTAGCGGTTGTGCTGCGCTGGCTACATTTCTCATCTACAGCTGAGACACCGAACACCCTATTGAGGCTGACTAACTTCCGGCAATATAAACACACGTACAATATTATTATTCTTATTTTAACACAAAAAAGGGAAAATTAGTAAAAAGTTCGCAAAGAAATTGACTTTTTATTTATTTATTAGGCTTGTTGAGTAGCATATGAGTATAGCTCTTTTTTCTGTTCTAGTATATGCTGACAAACTTACATGGAAGTGTCTCCACGTCCTTGTTGTTGCAAAGGCTGGACTGCTCTCGGACGGCAATGAAGTCGGCTGGTGTAAACCACGGCTTCAGGGTATTCAGCTCCTTGGAGGCGTAATCAATCAGAAAACCGTCAGCGTTCAGAGATAACTTACGATCGGAGATGTCCTCACCTGGAACTCCGCGACCAGCTTGGACTTTCCGGTCGCCTCATCCGGAGAGAGCAGTTCCTTGAGACGCTCTTCCAACTTGACGCACGGAACGCTGTGGTCTCGTACACAGATGCTTTCCATCAGCGCCCGATAGACCAGATTGTATTGTTCCTGGACACAAAGTCAACCGAAGCAACGTCAGATTCCCGAGCATGTTCCTCATTGCATGCACTCATTAAACTTGTCCTATATTATGGCAGAGCCTCGCTGTGGGAGTGGTAGCATTTTACATTCCTCATTTCAGAGACGCCGTTTCGTGAAATATGTTTTGACCTGTGGCTCCTATATTCGTCGTTGTGTAAAGGTTCTTCCAGGTTAGCATGAACGTGTTTGTCTTTTGACGACTCTAACGTGATCGAATTTTCATTACAAACATTTTTTAAGTGTTCGGGCAGAGTTATCGTCGGCCCTGCAGGACATTCAAGAAGGGTATACTAAAGGGTCAAACTGAACCGTTGGCGTTGTGAGAAACCCAGTGGAGACATCTAAGCAGAACACGAAGGCAGTGAAAAAAGTACGCGGACGTTTACGTGCATCAAGTAGCTTCCCGAGGCATTTGAAAATGGCTGCTGGCGTTTCACTAGAAAGCTCTTTGAGGAATTTTTTTAACAAGGAGATACCTTGGAAAAACGCTACTAAGGTTTTTGTTGTTTATTTTGGCGTAGGCGCGAAGGCGCGAAAAACAAACACGATTAGCACATTATATCGTAAACCGCGGCTGTTGACCCTAGGTTGTAGGACGCCAATGTACTAGGCAGAGCCACTGTTTCAGACAAGCTAGCTCTTTTAGCTTTCTGAGAATTTTAGAGTTTCTTTAATGCTTCCATCAATCAGCGTAATTCTAAATCGTACAAATAAAAAAAAGAAGAAATTATATCTTCTTTAAAAACAAAATAGAGTCGTATACAAGGGTTCTGATTACCAGGGTTTCGACGAGGTTCATCCTGCTCTTCCGGATCGCCGCTAGTTGACCGACCACGTCGACCACACCTTCGCTCATTGCCTGTTCTTGCAGTGTGTCCAAGAGGATATAGGTTCCGGTCCTGCCGACTCCCGCGCTGCAAAGCAACGGGCATAAGTACTTTAGGTATACTTGATGTATATACCTTATATAATGAAACAACTACCGTAATTACTGCAATAAAAGTCGAACTGAACATAGTGAGGGGCAGTGTGACTACAATTTACAGAACTGCCAGAGAAACCCCACTCTCGCAAACTGCTCAGAGAGAAACAGTTGCACTTTTGACGGCCCTCATGTCCGTAAAGATGCATCGTGAGTGATTTTCTATCTGTTTGATACCTGCAATGGACTACGACTGGAGCCTCGTTGAAGGCCCGGTATTGGTTGACCTTCTTGCGAAAGGCCAGCAGGACGTTCGGGTAGAGCGGCACCCCGTGGTCCGGCCAGGACCGCAGGTGGAAGTGCTTCACCTCCCTCGTGGTGTCGGCGAGCGTAAGGTGCAGCTGGCGCACGTCATAGTCCGGGAACGTCTCGCTGGCCATCAGGTGCACCTGGATGTCTCCGTACGTGGCCGCTTCGTCGGGCCAGTACTGCTCGCACTTGGCCTGGTTGAGGACACGGCATACTACAAAGGTCGATGTCAAGTTCCACAAACTAGGAGTGTCTATAGTCGCTGATGGGCTAAAGACGTGGTCACACTGCCTATACACCATAAGAACAGTCTGCACACACTGAGGCGTGTTTCTGTCTTGTCGCGTTGACCGTGCAGAAAATGTTTGCAGAAAACTTCGAAGCATTGATATGTCAGAGCAAACGGGCTTCGAGTATGCTTGAGGTGTGTACGCGTATAATTCTGTCATCATATTTGCAGCAAAAGCCATATAAGTATCTTGCAGTGTGACCGGCCCCACGGCGGCCATCTTGAACAAGCCACTAGTAGAACTGCTAATGGTGGCACCGATCCGCGTGACCGAAAAAAAAAACTGTTCTATGGCACGTGGTTCTGATGTTCCTCCTCCGTCCTTAAGTTCCTCCTTACTGCAGCTCTTCTGTGCTCCCTGCAGGTTCACCCCAGTTAACCTTGTGCTCTCGCCCGCAAACACGAGTTTGAGCACAGCTGCCACTTGTATCGTGGTTGCGGCCGTGAGATCGCCAGTAGGTACTCCGCCTACAGCACGAGGTTCCTGTTTTTGATAACACTTCGTCGCATTGACAGCCAAATTTGCCTGGAGGTATAGGCAATGAGCGCGTGCTGTAGTTGGGGAATCTACTGGTTTCTTAACATGCCACCGACTACAGAAGATTTCGAGGAGCCATAATTAATGGGAAGATTACTTATGCCTGCATGTTGCCTGCTCTGTGGGGTCCTAATGTGCACCAAGTATGTCTCACTCTGAAGATTTTCGAGGTGCTAAAAGCCAATCGAACATTCCAAAAATGAAAGCTGTTTACAACTCCCTGTAACGCCGAATTGGAGCGCAGCTCTTGAGGAGGAGGAGGGAAGGGTACCTGAGGGGAGGGTAGACCCCTCCTTCTCCTCCTCCTCCTTCTCCTCATTCTTTAATATGCTCCGGGGGGTCACCTGACCTCGGAGGGAGGGGGTCACGTGACTTTGGGGAGGGGGCCACGTGACCTTCGGGGGTCACGTGGGGGTCACCTTGGGGGTCACGTTACCTTGAGGTGACCTTGGGGGTCACGTGACCTTGGGGGTCACATGACCTTGGGGTGACCTTGGTTACGCCGACGGCGACGCCGCTCAAGCTGGAAACAGGCGCCTAAGAGCTGCGCTCTAAAACCGGCCTCAGGCACGGGAGCGAGCACGGTGCCTTTGAAAGTTCCGTTCATGTGCAAGTTTTCGGACAAACAAAAGCATTAGGCCGAGCTAGGCTCACGTGCTTGATTCTTTGTCTGCGTTGTAGGCGTTGGTGAGATAAAAGATATGCCTTAAAAGCTAATATTGAGTATGGCAGACGACAATAAAGGTCGCGGCGAGGATACCTTTCCTTTCTCGATCAGGTTGGTGAGCATGACGATCTTGCAGACGTTCTCTTGCCAAACCATCTTCCAGAAGTCGCTAACCGTGTTTGTCCGTGGACCTGGGACAAATGTTACGTAGCACTAACTTGGATTTCTGAAATAACACCGCTTTTTTGTCACTTTGGCGAGACTCTTACCTTGTGTTGCGATGTACCTTTTAGGTCTGCAGTAGCCCTGTTAGAAAAGTATCTTCGGAATAAAGTTTCACAGCTCCGAACACAAAGCTTGTGGAAAGTACCCTTCTTACTTACGTCAATGTAGTTGGCGTTGATATAGTCGGAAAATGCAATGCCGGGTGTCGGTTTCAGTTTGACCCTGCTGTGGTCGTCTGTGTATCAAATGATTCATATTATGGTACATAGAGTTCCGCATGGAGAGTTAATCAAGATCTATGGAACCTCGAAGCTCAACTTACAAGGTAGCTGATTGCCGTAGCGATTCTTAATCCTGTTTTCAAGCCTTTGACCTTCAGACGTCGGATACTGTGGCCCCCTTCCTTGACCCTGTCATTTGGATCAATAAAACAATTCAATAAGCCTACGCAATGCCAGCCCGAAATGCACTGTCGGTCCTTAATGAGTTTTTACCGTGTACTCCTGTTTGAACCCTTCGCAGATCAGCATACGTTGCACGTACTCCTGGAGGCCTGCCACGGGGATTGGCTTAGAGCTCGAGAGATCCGACGTGTGAATTTCTTCCATCTCAATGTCGAGGCTCTCGCCATCGTTGTCGAACGTCAGATTTGTAGCTGGAGAAATGCCATCGCTCAGAGTTATTGTCGATTGCCTGGAAACCTTGCAGCTGTTCCACTGGTCTCACCGTCACTCGCGGGAATGACAGTCTTCTTCACGACGCTCCTGGACATTCTGGAGACTATCTGCTTGCGCCATCTCCTGCGAACGATCGCAATAAACTATAATTAGAAAGTTTTAATGTTGCGTATAGGAGTAAATAAACGCGAGCGTTCTGCGTTTGCCTTAGCGTTGCGTGCTCCAGGCTGCTGCGCGTAGTCGCCGTGCGTCAATAACCGCAGTTTGGGCTCCGCTCACGAGCAGTGTGAAACGTGTAACGATAACAAGGCAAACGCACACGGTGCTTGCGCTTCTGGTGTAAAACAATTTATAAGCTTCCAAGACAGGTTGTGACGAAGTGGAAGCCTAAAATACCACGAAACACCGCTCATACATTATACAAAAAGGACACGGAGTTTCTCTGCAGACACGACGAGAGAATCGTCTACGGGCCCACCTCAGGCACGCCCAGAGCACGTCTGCTTCGTGCATGTATGGATCCTTGAATCGCGTCTGCGGAAGTTTCTATATGACCAATGGTACACGACAGGACAGGCATAGAAGAAAAAGAACTAGCGTCAGACAATAGGGAGTTTTAGGGAACCGTTTTTGCACATCCCATGTACGGTACAATGGGCCCTCTTGTACGCACTGTGCATGCGCTATCGCGGAAAACTTGCGCATGCGCAGTTCGTACTGAAGCGTATTACTGTATCGGATGGGGAGAAACGGTTCCCTAAAACTCCCTAGTGTCTGAGGCGTGTGTCCGACGAAAGATTTTTCAGCCGTTTTAAAAACGGGTCTTCCGTACCGTCTATTATAGGTAATAGGGCTCCGTGTTTTCGGATAAATCCGAAAAACTCCGAAAAACACCCGCCGGTAAAATTTTGGCCAATTCGGATTTATCCGATAAACTCCGAATGTTTATGTGCCCAATGCCCCCCCCCCCCCCCCTTTTCTAAAACAAAATAAAGTTTTTTTTTTTTTTTTTTTTTTTTTTTACAATTTCATTAGCACGGAGTCAATGGTCCTGGGAAAATGGCACCATAATTATCTTTCAAATCTATGACCGTTGTCAAAACGGGTCTTGCCGCTTGTCTCGTCGAAGTTGATTCAGGGCAACAGGTCATCGTACATTCGGGTCACGACAAAAGCCACTCTTTTGGTTTCCAGTTTGAGCCATGCGATTTGTAATTTAGAGAAAGGAGAAGGTATGTTTTTGTAACGGTGAAAGCTATGGACCATAGAGATTGTATTAAATAGAGGAAAAGGACAGTTCAAACTTTCTATTACCTCCCTAACCACTCCACCTCGCGCGGCCGCGGGCTAGATTGATGGAATAGGATGGGATGACTTCGAGCTTCCTAGCGACTGCACCCGGGAGTTTATTGATATTAAAGTATCGACGTTTATCGAAGCAGCACTTGTGTGCGACTTTTGTCGTGGGACAAATTAATATTGCCAATGGCAATGGCACAAACGTCAAATTCAGCTGAAGAAATTTTAATTTCTTCAGCTGAATTTGTCCGGTTCTAACAAACCACAAGAGTAATCCGGTTCTAACAAAAAGAACCGGATTACTCTTGTGAGGAGGACTTTCTAATAAAGGTGATCAGATTATCACTCATTTCCTCCAAAAAGTAATTGATTACACGTAATTTGATTACTTGTAACGAGTATCCGAGTATTGTATAAGTCTGGAAAGACGTAACTTCTGCGTTTGGTTACTAAACCCTGTTGCAGGTTAAGAAAAGCGGAACACGCTTCTCACCCCTCCAGTTCTACGACTTCAGCGACCGAACGCTGGAGAGGAGAGGGAGGGGGGGGGGGGGGGGGCTTGTGTTTACTCGCCTCCTCTGTGCCCTGATGTTCTTCACCTGCAACAGGGTACAACGTACGTACCAGGTGACAACAAGGAGGACCGCCACGATGACCAGTAATGAAACGAGAGCAGCGGTGGTCGCCGTGCCGTTTGTGGTCACGTCTTGCCTGCCAACTGAAAGTAGACATCAAAATAGTTTCGTAAACAGAAATTTTATATAAAATAAATTGCAAACCGAAGGCGCATATAAACTCTTCACCTCTGACTGCTTCAGATAGGAGCTTGTAAGATATCCGGCTATCCTGCAGCGGAAGATAAGCGCCACGGTTAAAGGTATACGGGAATACAATGACATTTTCGCCTGAAGTAGAACTGTTGAGTGCCGTTTCCTTAGCTTGTTAAAACATGACAGTCAACATCGTATACCCCCCCCCCCTTTTTTTTTTTTTTTTGCCAGCAGGTGGCACGCGGTGCCAGCATGCGGTACTAATTACAGTCGCCACGAATTTCAGTTTGGCACTTATGCAGATAAACACCAAAACTCCACGTGACTGCTGCACTTGTTTCCGTGCTCCGAAAGTGTCCCTCGAAACATTTGCTGCAGCCGGTACTATTACACGTATACCCACGCTCGAGCTATTCACGACATGCAGTCAGATGCCCATGCATCCGACTGCATGTTGTGATGTCGCCACCTTTGGAGTCAAACTGAAGTTACTGTCGACGAAATATAAATTGATAGGAACACACCGGTCTTTAAGCCATAGGGCGCCCTATGGTTCGATGACCGGTGGCTTCGCTGCGTTTCCATAGGAGTTAAGCCTTTTTCTTTTTTTTTTTTACTTTTTCTTCGGGTAAGTTCGCTCTTTTCGAATTTGATTTCATGTATGCTTTCATATATATGCTTTCATATGGCAAATGCGCTTTTATGTTTGAAAAGGAAGCGGTCTGACTCGCCCCTTCAAAGTCGACTTCAGCCGCCAGTCCGATGTCGTAGGTGGATCCGGTCACGAGGGGCGCGTTGTAGAAGCCGCCGTAATACTTCCCATCCCCAACCGTAAAGTCCGATCGATTACGAATGGTTGCGGATGTCATCTGCGCTGCCATGTAGTAGGGAAGACCCATCTCTTGAGACGTGTTGTAGTCCACTTTTCCAGCTGTCCATTCGTGGACTCCGTCGCGTCCGCTGACGGATCTCCTGGTCCGCTCGGTCGCCTCCTTGTCCTCTTGTCTCATGACCAGAACGTAGTAGGCACTGCGAGACGAGATAAAACGGTCTCCAAGCGTACCGTGGCGTACCCTACCAACACCCCCTAGAATGATCAAAGTCTATGCACTAGACCTTGATTATTCTAGGCGGTGTTGACCTTACGCGCATGGGACGCATCCTCACCTGACATCTTGGTCGTCATCCTCTGTCGGCGCCAAGGACAAGGTGATTGTGGTGTCGTCAACTGTTTTGACTTCCACCTTTGTCTGGACGGGTGGCACTGTGTTGGTTGTCCGCATCGCGTTCCGAGAAAAGACAACAAACGGGTGAGTTCACTAGCCCATAATTTGAGAAAGACCTAGCTATGCTTTGTCCCAAGGACGCGGTTCAGGGTCAAGACCCATCTTCTTTCATTCGTGTGCTTCCAAGCAGACAACCACTATAAGTATACATCAAGAGGCATTCTTGTTAGGTTTCAGTCATAGCATCTACTGACATTTAATTGCTGAAGAAGTAAGAAAAAAACAGCAACGCCAAAGATAACGCTCCATACTGTCCACTGTGTTACATAAACGATTGTCATACTTTTAGCATAAGTCGTGCCTTGATCGGTTCCTCTTACCTGGTGCTCTCGTATAAGCGATGAGTTCGATCGGCTTTCCGTATCCAGCCGAAGTCTTCGCCTCAACTGTGACTGTAAAGCTTGATCCCGGCTTCAAAAACAAGAAACTGTGGTTCCTGGCTTCGGGCCCGACCTCAACGGATTCTTTTTGTTCTGGATCCGCGTACTGGCCTGCCAGCATCACCTACAAAGTGTACAAAGCATCGATTAAAGAAAAAAAAAATTAAAAGAAATCAGATGGCTCTTCGATAAGTTTTGCCTCGACTGTAAACGACGAGCAAAGGTCACAGAAAGAGTGCGCCAGAAACCGGCTCACATATAGAGCCACTCGATCATTCACAGAGAGACGGTGACGTCAGAGCGACGCCGAGCTCTTATTGTCTTTGACTGAAAGAACACTGGGTAGACCTCAATGCTAGATGCCTTGAGGTCTACTCACTTTTTCTTTTCAATGAGCCAGTAAGAACTCGGCGTCTTAACATTATTGCAGCCCCTGTGGAAGAAGCAGACGATCTTGCGCTCCGCATAAACAGTACAAGCCACTCAGAACGCTTCTTGCATTCTGATTGGTTATTCGACGTCCTTATTAGCCAATGGTGCAATCTGATTGGCCACTGAGCGATAATGAGATGGCCGGAACACGAAACTGCCGTTTGTTTCTGAAGCTGACAGTGGGGGGGGACCATGGTGTGTCATCTAGTCTGTTTCTGAGTATAATGTTGTGATTCCTTCATTGACTTCATGTATCTTCATGTATTCTGTATGGACAGTCATCAGCCAATGGCTGACCATACAGAATCAAGCAACGGAAGGTTAACCCTCGCTCAAAAGGTTCTCTTAGTTGCGCATTTTTGCTGACGTTACCCTGTAACCGGTGATGATTCCGTGGCTGATCATGGGCTCCTTCCAGGACACGGTCAGCGAAGATTCTTCCCTCGAATCCTGGACCAGTTGCGACGGCGGGTCGGGAACTGCACGACATCAATAGTGGCCGAAATGCAGAGTTGGATACATATGCGTGTTTTCGACCAGTTCTAATTCTGACCTGTTTCCTTCGTTTCCGCGACGACGGTGTTGCTGCGATCGCTCCAGTCGTCAACGCCCTCGTTCTTCGCCACTACCTTCGATAAAAAAATTTTTCAGTAATGACATGAGGTAATGATAGAAAGTGAATAATTGTTTGCAGGACAAGCACATTTTTTTTTTGGAGGGGGGGGGTATAAATAACTAATTCTTTTATCGCTTTTATTGTCATTCATAACATTTGGCACTTTAAATATTACGGCTGAAGATTCTATGATATTCTGTCTGTAGGCAGTCATCCGGTAGACTGTTTTTCGTCATTGATCATGTGTTCCTCGTAGGTAGGACTTAGAGTGGAAGGAAATACAGTATAACTAACTTATTTTTTATTACAAAAGAAGCTAGTTATACTGTGATGTATCTTTTCGTCTCAGTCCTTCTCTTTTTTCGGTGCTTTTTTATTTCAAAATTATTCCATAGGGGGTTTAACCAACTAGGTACTCACGACACCCCAGTGATCCCACTCTAGCCATCTAAAAAACACAAGGCCTACTTTATCTGCTAAAAGAAATCTTTTTAAAATGTTTAATATGCGACCACAAGATAAATATGCTTTTTTTTTAGACTTTAAACGTCCTAGGTTAGCCGTATAGCGTAAATGGTAGAAAAACACTTACGAAGACCTGGTAGACGGTGTTTGGGACGAGTTTCCGCACGACGGCGCACTGACGCCCCTGCCTGACGTCGCTTTCGCAGACGCTGGAGGTTGGAGTTTCCATAAACTGGCCTTGGAACGTAGTCTCAGAGGTGGTTTTGTAGAATACCTTATAGAACTCTGGCAGCCCCGCGGGAGGGTACGGGGCCCACCAGGTGATAGCGATGAAGTCACGGCCAGTGCTGTAGGCCGTCAGGTTTCCGGGAGCTGGGGGCACTGTGCAAAGCCAACTTCTTAGCGCCTGGTTAGCCGTAGAGTAAACGCAAGCGGAGTATGTACAGTTATATATTAGTGAGCAGCTCACGTCATTCTAGTTTATGGCGTGCGCACTGCCCCATTTCTGGTGAAGCGCCTTAGCGATCGATAATCTCTACAGACAGTCAGATTGCAGTTAAACTGGGATTTGCATTTTTCATTAAGGAAATGGAGCATAAATGTGAAGGCCCGTACAGGTATAGATGTCAGTATTAACATATGACAGTGGCACGAACATGCCGTTCCCTGAAACCTATAGCGATCGTGGTGTCACAATGCCATGGTGTCACAATGCCACGTGACGTCATGTGATACCGTCAAGTGACACCATGGCGTCACGCGAGGTGGCGACTTCATGTGACAGGGTTAATCCATGGGACACTACGACGTCACGTTAACTGTTAAAGGGTAACTGCAAAGCAAAAAAAAGTGTATTTTTAAACAGCCTAATTGGGACAAGCATGTCACAAAACAATGTTTCCGCCGAAAACAAAATTTTTTTCTAGCAATATTTATTGCGCGAGACTGATTTTAGTTTGCGGCTATTTAGTTCGTTTTAAATCGCGCGCCACAAAGTTGGTATAATAGGTCACGGAGTGACGTATAGGCTCCCTGCACTGACGTCACATCGCATACTTTTGAACACCATGTAAAAGGAGGAGAGGAAGCTGCTTTTGTAAGAATTTTGAGTGACAGGTTATTCTTCTATAATCTTCTGGGAGGAGAATAGCGACGCCAATGCAAATCCGGGAGGCACATAGAAGGGTCCTGATAAGAGGGGAGCTCCTTCTTCCCCTTTTCTCTGGAGGGCATCGGAAATGATGTCATGTGCAAGCCACTTGTAGCAGCCACTCCGCGTGCGTCAAAAGAGCGGGAGTTTCAAATGTGGATAAGTTGTGACCCCAACTAAATTACGTCTTGGGGTGTAAATATTGCTAGAAATTTTTTTTTTTCGCGGAAGATTTGTTTTGTGACATGCTTGCTCCAATTCGGCTGTTTAAAAATACACTTTTTTTTCTTTACAGTTACCCTTTAAGTCGTGCTGTACGATACACACCACCTTGAGTAAGCAAGGCCCTTGGAGTGTTTCCATATAAAGCTATCGCTTAAAAAGAGAGAAGAAATAACACTGTTTGGACTGTACTCACCGCCGGGCAGCGTTTCGAAGTCCAGCGTGGCCTCGGGTCCTTTTCCAGCGCTGTTGACCGCGGCCACCCCGAGGCGGTAGCTGGTGAAGGGCACCAAGTGCGTCATCGAAAACCCGATGTCCTTAGTGGTGTTGATCAGTTCTTCGGTGACCCACGGTGCATCCGACGAGAGCCTGAGCTGGTAGCCTTGCACGACTCCGTTGGTGGTTCTACAGTCCGGGGGACTCCAGTACACGGTCGCCGTGACCGAAGTGACGTCACGCAACACCGGATGAAGAGGCGGACCGTCCGGTTCTGCGACGTTCACAGCAAGATCACACGTTGTGAGGGACAGCGTAGCAAACTCGGGCTGTGCTCTTTCTGATGTCACTATTGGCCAATGACTGGCGACGGTCTTTTGGACAGTGGCCAAGGAGTGGCCACTCATCGGCCAATGCTCGGCCAATGGCTGATGGCCAGTGGCCAGTGGCCAATGGCCAGAGAAAGGCCAGTCATCGGCTGATGGCTGGCCACTGTCTGGCCACTGGCCAAAAGACCATTGCCAGCCATTGGCCAATGATTGGAAAAGTCTGCGCTGCTTGGGCGATCTCATTATTTTTTTTTTACTATAGTGAAGTCGTCATAGATAATATTGCCTGACCTCTTTGAGGTGTAAAGCCGCTGTAACTGGTAACGACGAATCCACACGAAGTCTGCGTTGGTAAAAACAACATGACGCTTAAACAAGCAATTAAATGTTGCGTGCGTGCTCAGCGATGATGTCAAGCCACTGGAGTAGGGTACGTAAAAGTAAAAGTCGTGATGGTTGCGTCCCTTTACTAATTTTTTTCATTGCACACTACGCAACAGTCAGAGGAAAACACAACACCGGCACTTCTCTCGCATTGCTCCCTGGATTCCACAATATTTTTATTGTTCATATATCCGAACTTTGTCGCCTTGTGCACATGATAACCGCGTAATAAAGACATAATAAATCTTATTGTGTGCTCGTTTTTCTGGGGCTAATCATCAAAAATGGCCCTCGTCATTCGCGTTGGTGTACACAAACTTGTCTTCCCCGTCATCGGCACGAACTTGCGGGCATTGCCTTCAAGTTCGACGATCCCGCAGTTTTTTTCCTCGAACAACGACACTATGAACGACGCAGAGGCCCACCTTCGTGGGAAGTTGTAAACCAGTGGCTCTTCCACGGTCCGTCCGTGACAGTGGTGGCCCTCACGGAGACCTCGTAGTCGGCCCCTCCGGTCAGGTTGGAGAGCTGCAGGTATGTCTGGTTCGGAGTCACCCTGACCTGTGTGCCGTCGGACGGAGGAAGACCTTCGCATTCGTGCAGAAGCCTCAGGCGGACGTAGTGCACTTCGTAGCCACGGAGGACACCGTTGCTCGCCGACGGAGGGTTCCAGCTCAACATGTAGGTCTTGGAGGACACGCGGTAGACCCGTATCCTGGCCACTGCCTCGGGGGCTGCAGAAGGGACAACGTTGGAAATGTCATGGCTCAGAACGCCGACACTGGAGACAAGAAGAGCAGACGACGCGGGTGAGAGAACTCCTCGACATTAGGGAACAGCGATGTACACTGAAGCCCCGCTGATACATCGTACAAAGGACAGTCATGCTGACACTGTCTGGGGCGTCTTTCTTCTCTTTATGGCAGTCCGGCCACATTTGTGATAAAAAATATTGTCTGTAGGCATGCTCGAAGCGTACATATGTATGGAGGCTTCGAGCATGCTTGAAGCGTCTCTTGGGATAATTTTGTTGTCATGTCTGCGACGAACGCCGTGTGTCTTGTGTCGTAAATGGGCGGTGTGACTGCGACTTGGGACATTTCAGCGACAGTGTCCGTCAACTCGTGCCTTATTTTACATCGCGTCAAGACGGTACAGCGCTGGCCTTACAACCGCTAGCATGCGAATATGCAAGAGAAACCTGTGCTTGCGCAAGCATCGATTCGTAGCCTAATTGGTTTATAGACGTTTGCTATCTGGACGCCGCCATCTTGCTGCTGGTGGGTAGATTGTCTGATAGTCAAGCATTGCTGAGGCGTATACCAGGGCTGCCAACTCGAGGGAAATTTCCCAGATTAAGGTAATATTCAGGTATATGTGGGAATAAGGAAAATTTTGCTGGTTTGAGGTAAATTTTGGGCACCGTTTCTATCGGGAATGTTTGAATGTCACTTATTTTTTTTTTCGAGATAATATTAAATGTTAGCGGCTTTGGCTATATTTGGGTTATTCGCTCCAGCCGTTTGGCGGTTTGATGTGCGATCATCGGGCAACATTGAGCGGCACTCAAAAAATGTTTTTGGGTAAGTCAGTTTTCACCTCCCTCTCGCCCTCATTAAATCTATAGAGGAAAGGACAAGTCAAGTCGAAGCTTCTGAGAAAGCCGACGTGTCTTCTCAAAAAAAAAAACACAAAAAAACTTGAGTACAAGAATAAATACTGCGATTTCTGGAAATACAGATTTATCATGTCCAAGATACAGATTTACCATGATAATAATTTTTGGGTTATGACGATATTTATAGACCTTTTTCCGGAAGTGCTCTTTTTAGCCTCGACCGCAAGGAGCAAAAGCGAACAATAATCTCGAACCCAGACGCTCACGGGGAGGGGGGGCTGCGTCGGCCTGCGCCGCCGCTTCCCGTTGAGGGCTTCTTCGCTGGTGTGCCGACTGCCGTTTCGCCGGCATCGGTCCTGTTTACCGCGGTATGTGAGTATCGTGCCCGTAATGTGAGAGCCGTGTGTCCATACGCCACTTTGCCGCTGTTGGTTTCCATCTAGCCGAGCCAGAAAACATCTCGCGACGAGTTGACCGCGCCGCGAGTGACGAAGAAGCAAACATGGCGACGGTTTGTGCGATTGCTTTGGTGGCTCCGGTGTTGAGAGTCTTCAACGTCCTCGTGAGAAGGTTCCCCTGCCCTTCGAAGTTATTGCAAGCACCACGAAAGATGTGGAATCATCGTCTCACCTACAAATAAGCAGGCCTTCACGAGCAACAACGGTGCCGAGCAGGCGCTCGGCACAGTTGTGTCAGGCTTACGCAGCCTGCGGCACAGTTGTGTTGGTTGTGTCGTCAGATGTTCAACAACGCCGTGGTATTTTCATTTATCATTTGGAATGGCTTCAAGAGTGGGAAATTAATCTATTTCGTGGATTGTTAACGCCGAGGCGAGTGCCCTCCGTTGCAGTGCCGTCGTCGCGCAAAGTGCAGAGAAAACCGGGTGGCGATGGCGGCGGTGCTCTTTGATCTTGCGCCGTCGGGTTCATGAAGTCCGGAGTAAACGTACAGTACGTACGTGCGCCTGCTGGATCGGTGTTTTGGACTTCCTCAAAACTCTTTCTCACGCGCATTTTCCTTGTGAAGCTTAGTAGCTCATTACACCTCATCGTCGACTGCGCTCATTTGACTACGACGGACGAGCCTGCGTGATGTGAATTTCACTGCCTAAGATCCTTGGTGTGCTGTAACGCGGGCTAATAAAATATCACCGCGAACTTCTGAACAAACGAGTCGAAGTTTCGCCTGCTATCATAACTGATCGCCTGTCACAATATTAATCAGTAGCGTTCCTAGACTCCGCCCCCACAGGCACCGTGCTTCGTTGCCCGATAGTAAGTGTCTCCTGGTACCTCGTAGAATTCCAGCTCCCACTTCAAGTAAGTACCATCCTTTAGAACGGGCAATTAATAGTTTCGAACCCAGACGCTCGCAGTGTGTGTTTGTGTGTGTGTGTGTGTGGGGGGGGGGGGGGGGGACGGGTGCTAACATACTCGGAGCCCTCGTTTACGCCGCTTCGCAGCGGCAGACAAGGCGCCACATTACAAAAGAAAGCTAATCCGAGTTGTCCATGTAACTAGACCCATTCGCTAGTCATTCGATGAAACGTCGTGGTCTCGTTTTCATTCGCTAAAACGGCGTTCGATCAAGTGAACGCCTCCCACTTATTTCGGCTCGGCAGAGCCGCGCTGCCGCAGAAAGGCAAGCAGATCTCGAAAATCGGTCTCAAACGTGCCACGAATGTAATGTCGTATATACAAGAAGCCAACAATCAAGCATTTGAAAGCTACAAGAAAGCGGTAGCGAAATATTTACTACGCGATGAACCCGGACTGAAACGCGGATGTCAAGGGTCAGCAGACACCGAGAACATTTAAGACAAGAAAGGTTTTCTCTTGTTTTCTTGATCGAGATGGGTTCTCGAATGTTCACGACATCTTATCTGTTGAAGAACGGGTCGCGGAGGCTTCTGGTGAAGACATCGTTCACGATGTGCCGGTGCATTCGGACAGCCTGCCGCATTCAGCTCCCCAAAGCAACGCCGCCAACGCAGCCCCCCCTCCTGCCTGCCAGTTCTCTCCGCGTGGTGGCGCGAGCGTAGATGAACATGGCGGCGCCCTGGAATTGGCGCGGACACTGGTCTATACAGCGTGTAGTTGCGACGAGTCACACGCTGTAGATGAGCAATTTAGCCAGTGCAGTACAACCGCTAGCCTGGGGTCTTTAGCGTGCACCACGCAGTAGTGATACACGACCGCACGCCGGTATGGTAATAATATTTGCTGAAGTGCCGTGCACGAAATAGTTCTTACTGTGTGTCGTGTTCCGTGTGCTCAAGTTTGAGAACTCTCGCTTGTGCTACACCTTTTGTTTTGGACTGACTATTATAAAAATCGCTAAAGAATTTATGAAAGCAGTAGGATGTTTTGATGATGCGCATGAAATCTATGACAAAGATAAGGATTAATTTGACAGTTTGAACCTCCCTTCGCCAGATTGCCCTTGGCCACGGTTCTGACCCGATAAACTAATTTTTGCAAAACATACGCGTGGTGTAAAGGTTATATAATGTATATCTCATGGTAAGAGTGGAGGTGATGCGGAAAACAATGAATAATTAATATTATACAATTATTGGGGCAAGCGAGGGAAAGTTCGGCAGAAATAGGGAAGTTTCAGGCGTCCACTAGGGAAATTTTGACTTTTCGTGTTGGCAGCCCTGGCGTATACCCACAGCCTCAACTACAGGGTGTCACAAAAGAAAATTTACACTGTCTTTTTTACCGCAAAAATAAACTAGGCATCGCCGAACGCTCACTCTCCGCCCAAAGGTAGAGCTAGAGGTCACAACCAGATGGCAAAGTTTCAGCCCGATCCGATAACTTAATCAAAAGTTATAAGTGATTTTCTGAAAATTTCAATGGGAAAATGGTGGCCGACAGAGTTTTCAAACACATGAGGCTCTATGGCACCAGAAACCGAAAACGGGCAAAAGTGGGCTCCATTCCCATTGAACTTTTCAGAAAACCACTTATAACTTTTGATTAAGTTATCGGATCGGGCAGAAACTTTGGCATATGGTTGTGACCTCTAGCTCCACCTTTGGGCGGAAAATGAGCGTTTGGCGATGTCTAGTTTATTTTTGCGGTAAAAAAGACCGTGTAAATTTTCTTTTGTGACACCCTGTACACTTGACTATCCGACGATCTACCCAAACAAGCAGCAGGGTGGCCGGCACCCAAGGGCCGTACTTGCGGACGTCTATGCAACGAACTGGTGTATGATAAAGAGAACATTAAAAAAAATTAAAAAAAAAAAAACACCTTGAACCGCCTATTGTTCAAATCTGTTTAATAACGCCGAGGGTAACGGCCTGATAAACAATCATTCTACCGGGAAAGGAACCGTGTGCCTGAACGTGCGACCGATTTCGTGCGCCAGCTTTCGACAGCCCGACAGCTTTCCAGGGACTACAGCGGCGTTCGTTACGTCGGCTATTGGTTCCCGGTCGTTCGAACTATACTTCGTTTCAGCTTCGGTCTGAGCGCGGCCGATGTTATGAGCCGAAGGGCCAATCAAACAGCGAAACAGGCACAACGTCATGGCGTATTCTCTGCACTTGATAGGACAAGCCTGTATTCGCCGTCTCTCTGTGCGTGTTCTTCCGCCGGCCAGTCCTATCAAGCGCAGAGAGCACGCCATGACGTTGCCCTTTTTGCGCTGTTTGATTGGCCCTTTGGCTCATAACATCGGCCGCGCTCGGACCGAAGCTGAAACGAAGTATAGTCGGTACTGGAATCTAACGGCTTGTTCGGTAATAATGAGATGAATAGGTCAGGTCAAACACTGTATTTCTTTGGCTGTCAGTCCCTACAGGCAGCCGTGGCCAATCCCGAGCGTTCTCTTATCGTTCCACGATCAACGAGATTTGGAATCAGCCCATAAGGAGGACTAAGAACGGATCGCGAAGCAAGGAGCGTTAGCATAATAAGCTTGAGAACGAAAGAACAAAAACATAAAAGACGTACAAGGACGACCACATCCCTTCAAAAAGTAATGACTTTTAATTCTGTTGACAAGAATTCACGCTCTACTCGAAATTTTTACACAGACAAGGGGGGAGGAAAGAGAAAGGAAATAGACATGGAAAACCAAAGGAAATGGGGTGGGGAGGAGGGCGAAGAGCTGTGTCATGGTGGCGTCTGTTCCTAGACGGAGCAGACGCCTTATGTGTAAAAAATTTCGAGTGGGGCGTGAATTTTTGCCACCAGAATTGAACGTCGTTGCTATTTGAAAGATTCAGGTCGTCCGTGAACGTCTCTTATGTTTTTTCTGCTTTCGTTCTTAAGTACAGGGTGTCACAAAAGAAAATGTGCACGGTCTTTTGTACCGCAAAAATAAACTAGGCATCGCAGAACGCTCATTCTCCACCCAAAGGTAGCGCTAGAGGTCACAACCAGATGCCAAGGTTTCAGCCCGATCCGATAACTTAATCAAAAGTTATAAGTGATTTTCTGAAAATTTCAATGGGAAAATGGCGGCCGACGGAGATTTCGAATACATGGGGCTCTATGACACCAGAAACCGAAAGCGGGCAAAAATGGGATCCATTTTCGCATTGAAATTTTCAGAAAATCGCTAATAATTTTTGATTAAGTTATCGGATCGGGCTGAAACCTTGGCATCTGGTTGTGACATCTAGCGCTACCTTTGGGCGGAAAATGAGCGTTCGGCGATGCCTAGTTTATTTTTGCGATGAAAAAACCCTGTACATTTTTTTTTTGTGACACCCTCTATTCATTATAACAACGCGTTCGAATGAGCTAATAATACGCCAAGCCCCGTGATTCTTAGGGTGTCAGTGAATACATCCCACTGAAGCAAAATGTACCGTATACGCGAAGCGGGCTTCAGAATTCGATACCTTCGATGGGGGAAAACTTAAGGTTACCATCCTCGGGTGTGACGAGACCCAGTGGAGATGACCAGTCGCCGGCCTTGTCCACACCTGCCACGATGCGGACTCGAAGAACGTACATCGTGAAGGGCTTGACAGCGAGACTGTAGCGATCTCCGCTTCCCACGTCCAGGGGTTGAGTGTCGTTGATCTTCAGCTGAACGCTGATACGCGAACACCGCCAGGTCCTTGCATCCGGAAGCTGTGCACAGAACCGTGTCTTACAGCGCACGGCGGTGAATGGATGTCCTAGATGACTGTATGAGTACAGCAGAGAGGCGCTGTGCCACGCAGCTAACACTACTATACCTTCCAGCTGACCACGATGAGTTGCGGTGTTGACACCTTGGCGGCCAGGTTGCTTGGTGCTTCAAGAGGAGCTGCGAAAAAAAAAATTCACTTTAAGAGCACAATTTGCCTCTTTTCTCTACTATTACGTCGAAGGCAGGTGCGATTACGGCGCCGCTGATTCTGCCTCAGTGGTAACTCCAGGAAGGAGACATACCGGAACGGAGAAGATGAGAAGACGAAAGAGCTGCACCATGCCGCTGCTTTCTCGTAAACTGTTCATTCCAAAAAAATCACCGAGTAAATGAAAAAAAGAAAAGAGTGTCCGCTTGGCATGCACGTCGAAAGTCCGCCACTCGCCCTTTTAATGCGTGCTAGGAGTAGAGCGTCAATGGCGTCGCTCTATGTTTGATCAATTGATGTTACCTTCGGGAGTAACTCGGATTTACTCAAGCAAGCCCCACCCTATACGCGTCTTAAGCTGTCACTGATTATAGGTAATGGTATTAAGCAAGTCGTGCCGCGTTACCAAGCGCCGCACGAATGAATTCCCTCAGATCGCTTCGTTTGCACAAGCGATCGTGCAAGACACCTTTCCCAATTGAGAAGCTCGCATCCTTGCCCCACATAACGCTATGCAGAACCTGCCTCCACACGGCGTGGTCGTCCGATTCAAGGGGGCGAGCTCCGCGTTTTCTTGTCCGCTGACGTCGTGGACGACAACGCGCACGTCGTACTCCGTGTTGGCTGCAAGCTCCCCGACGTCGTAGGTCAGGGTGCCGTTCCCATCATCCTCAATCAGGTCCGTCCTGTTCCAGTCGTTCGTGCTGCCGTGAACCTGCACCGCCAGTCGAACCGTCATCCCTATATCTCCCTTTCACTCTTCGTGAACTGTACATTGACGCACACACACTGTGCTTGGACGTCAAGATGATGTGCTTATTTCAATGAGCCATCGATATAGGTTACAGATGCTTTGCTTTTCAAGCATTGGGTGGTCGAGCCTCTTATATATGGACATGGCCTCCTCTATACTCCCAAAGCCTGGCAGTTCGACGACGGAACCATAGAGTTTCCGGTCGCAGATTTGGAGCGCGAGGATCTGGTAGCACAGAGCATCAAAGAGCCATTTCTAAGGGAACCTGGGCGTCAGCGCGGAGCTTTTGCAGAGGCGAGGACCCGAAGCAGACTTGTTCGGTCAGGAGAAGTATGTTTCCGCGTCTCGCCGCAGCGCGGCGCCAGTCACGTGGCTCTCCTCTCATCCGTTGTCTGCCGCTCCATCTTTTCCATTTCGGCGGCCGCTTCTCGTGGCGATCTGCCAGGCTTTGTCACTATATAGGAGGCTATGATATAGATCATTCCAATGATCTCTTTCTGCGCGATGTCATCTTTCACTTTAAGATATCCGGAACGTCGCGGACAGATTCTTACGGTCTAAATATGTTTTCAGGCTCGTCATTCGCCGAGCCTTACAAAATGCCTCTTCCCACGTCAGGTTGGGGCAGTGCGCGCAGTGCGTGGAAATTAAATTCGGGAGGAGTGAGGCTCCTGCGCATGCGCAGTGGCGACAGCAGCGCCGCCGCAGGCGTGGCGTTGGAGATTTGGGTCGGTGCATAAGAACTTCGATGCCTACCCTGAAGAGGACTCTGTACGCTTCCGCATCTCCTTGTCCGGTGTCCAGGTCTTTGGTCCAGGGCTTCCAAGTGACGCGGAAGCTTTCCTCGTCCAGTGATTGGACGGCGAAGGACCCGAGAGCCGGATATGCTGAAATGTTTTGAACCGTATTTAGCATTAATTCCACCATAATCAAAAATTGGTTTAATCTATGGTCACCGGTAGCCGAGCTACTAAGAGACAGCGTTCCTTGCTTGCCAATTCGTTCCGGAACCCTGATTGGTTCTGTCGGATGATTCTGCAATTTCGTTGGCTTCTCAAGCGATAATGAGATGATTCTGACTGACCAGTCTAGGAATCTGTCGGTGCAGATGTAAAGAGTCTGTAAACGACATATCTTAACTTTGTTGGCACTTTCCACTTTGCCACAGCTTCTACAGTTTTATTTCTGTGGCTCAAGAATTGTAAGCGGGACCACGTACACACTGAGACCGTTTACACCATAAACACTGTAAAAAGGAAGTTCTATTGGCTCACACACATAAGTACCAGCCTTTCATCCCCCTTACTTCGAATGTTACCCCCTTTTTATGGTACAATAGGATCCGTTGCACGGAATGTTCTTTATTTTTGAAGGGTCTAATGTAGAAAGAACGGTAAAAAGGGTGTTGTAGTGCACTTGTCCAAGCGCGTCAGACGTTCTTTAGCTAAGGTAGCGTTAGAGCGACCGCGTCAAATAAGTGTTGACCGATTCTTCTTATCTCGGAGAGGCATTCCTCGAACATCAAGATAGTTTGATATGATGCATGTGAAATCTTGACGTGAATAAATCAGCACAGTTGTAACCCGTAATTGAGGAGCTGATAACCCCGGCTAATCAGCGTCTTTTGGATTGTCGAGTGTATAAGGTGGTGGAACAGGCATACGTTTAGCATGTGAACAGGTCGTAAGAGAAAGATAACCTCCAGGGTGCTGCCACCATTGAAAACATATTATTCTGAGGGTCTTCAACCCCATCCTAAGGCCGGGGTTACACTGCTTATGCATCATACAAAAAGACAGTCTGCATGCAGATTCGAATGCGAGTCACCGCGAGATCCGTGTTTTGAATGCCGCACGGCAATGAGTTCAAAGAGAAAACTTGGTTCGCGGCATTCGAACCGTGGACATTGTGGTGACTTCTGTTTGCAGACTGCCTTTTGTATGATGGTATAAGCATACTAACCACTAAAATACTCTAGTGTGTAATATGTTGTTAGAGCGATAGATAGACTCTCTGTGAGGATGGTATACGACTTTAGCGACGCTAATGAGAGAGGAGTTTCCTTACCCTGATCGCAGAAGGGTTCGTTCTTGAAGCCCTGCCGACAGGTGGCGTTGGCGCAGTACCCCCACTGTGGATGGCAGGCCTCTCCTTCTTGACAGTAACACTTGCGTTGCAGTCGACAGTCCGGTCCGTACATACCATCTGGGCACCCTGTAAGGGTCGTCTGTACTTCAATGTTTTTGTCCTCATAGACACGTTTGCAAGGATGCACTCTTTAAAAGCTACTCTAGCAACCATGGTTGGAAAACGCCTCCTAGCGAACACCCCCCCCCCCCCCCCCCCCCTGTTCTGGTGATAGTTACAGAAATGCGTTGGCCTGCGAAGAGAGGAATTATGTTTTTTTTTTAAGTTTTAAAACTATGTGGCGCCAGCTACCGCTCGTTATAAAAGGCACAACTGGTAAAATCATGGCCTCCGAGATCCTGAAGCGCACGCATTTATCCATCCATCTATGGTGAAAGATAGACCGGTCTGGCAAATGTGGATCCTTCTTAGTAAGGCTTGACTAGAAGACGATCTACACACACCAGCACCAAGAAGGCGGCGTTCAGTGGCCGTACTTTGAAAATGTGTATAGATGAGACCCAAACGCGTTGTCTTTCTTTAAGTTTTCATGAGCTGCTTTTTAACAACCAGTAAAGAAATCCCATCGCTGAAGACGTGATCGTTCCAAGTAGGTCTACTCGACGACACACGTGCTGGTAGGAGTCGTAAAATCAATCGGCCTAGTCACCAAGTTTGTGGGTAAAATACTATTTTTTTTATCTCAACCCAACCCTATACTCCGCGTCACTAGTTGTGCGGAGTGCAGGCGAAGGCAGCATCAGGCGAAGAGAGGAAGGGCGAACGCTACGAAGGCAGGGCGAGAGAGGAGGGCCATGGAGGGCAAGGGGAGAAAGGAGATGTTTTTCCCCTCCTCCCCAGCCTTCCTAGTGCTTGACCTTTCTCCCCTCGCCTGGCGTTGCCTTCGCCTCTACTGCACGCAACTAGGGGCACGAAGTATAGTACAGTGGCAGCTTTTGGTGCCCCTTTCCGGAGTAATCCGACGGCTTCCGTATACGCAACAAAATCTACGTGATCACGGTAGGCGCGCTGTCCCATCGCTGCCGCGCTATCGCCCATTCTCCATCGCCGTCGTCCCTCACACAGCTTCAAGGTGACAGCAGAAGCGACATGTCTTACAGATGGCTCTTTTCTTGCGTGCAGTACTGGCTGCTGCTGCTGTCGCATCACGGAATACCGGCATGCGAAGGCGCGTACGGACATCGACACGGAACCACCATTCTTCAAAACTACGTGCTCGAAAAGCTGCCAGTCATCCATATACCGACGACACCCCATCAAAATCTGCACAAAGACGTGGTCTTCGACCACGTGCTTGATCGTCCAATCATCTACCGCGGAGGCACATTTACGTCAGCCTTCGAGACTATAAAGGAACAGCCCAACGGACTGATGGCCAGTGGGCAAGGTGACAGCAGAAGCGACATGTCTTACAGATGGCTCTTTTCTTGTGTGCAGTACTGGCTGCTGCTGCTGTCGCATCACGGAATACCGGCATGCGAAGGCGCGTACGGACATCGACACGGAACCACCATTCTTCAAAACTACGTGCTCGAAAAGCTGCCAGTCATCCATATACCGACGACACCCCATCAAAATCTGCACAAAGACGTGGTCTTCGATCACGTGCTTGATCGTCCAATCATCTACCGCGGAGGCACATCCACGTCAGCCTTCGAGACTATAAAGGAACAGCCCAACGGACTGATGGCCAGTGGGCAAGGTGACAGCAGAAGCGACATGTCTTACAGATGGCTCTTTTC